TAGTTTTGGCTCGTCTAATTATCTTAGATAGCAATAATGAGTAATTCTTTGTGAATTCTTTGGAGACAATTCCTAACCTATACTTCTTCTCAAGATCATGTTTTTTATTAATAGATTTAAGTATTCCCTTTGTGAGCCAGGGATTGTTAAGCCTTTTGGTTGTGACTTGTTTTGTAAGCATAGGACAGTGGGTATTATAAAGGCTAAGAGTTTTTTGAAGAAAAGATTGAACTGCTAGGTTGATGTCCTCTATGTTACCTAGCTCGGACTCCCAGTTGACATTATCAGTAGCAGTTATAAAATTGTCTATAGCAGTTTCATTGTGTAGTCTAAAACGTATCTCTCTTGACTCAAGAGGTGGTTTGCTAATGTTAGTTAAGAGAAATGTGGGGTAATGGTCAGTAGTGCTATCGGTGATTATACCTGAAGTAAGCGGAGAGGTTATGTTTGTCCAGATGTGATCTAGAGTCGTGGCAGTGCTATCAGTGATTCTAGTAGGTCTAGTGATTAAGGGTATGAGGAAGCAGGAATTCATACAGTTGAGGAAGCTAACAGCAGTAGGGTGTTCTGGCTCGCAGAGGTCAATATTAAAGTCCCCTGCGATAATTAGGTGGTTTTTGTTCAGTCTGTCATCAAGTATTAGATTTCTAAGGTTTGAGTTGAATTCGGACACATCAGTGTTAGGAATTCTATAAAGTGCACCCACAGACAGGATAGACTCAGCACCCTTGACTCTGAAGCTGGCGAAGATATACTCCCCATAGCAGTCTCTAGTTCTAATTTCTTTTAAGCATGTTAGTTCTTGGTGGTAGTAAAGAGCAGTGCCACCACCTCTCTGAAGTTGACGACAGTTGTGAATTGCTGAGTAGTTAGGCATGTTAAAGAGTTGAGTAGTATCCTCTTTCAACCATGTTTCAGTAAGTATAATAAAAGAGAATTTGTTGTCAATAGCTTCAATCAAGGCACTAACATCATCGAAGTGTTTACCTAGGGATCTAACGTTCAAATTGATTACAGAGATATTGTGATTATGAGTTAATACATTGTTTACATCATGTGCTGCAAAATATCTGCAATTTAGATCATTAAAGTGATTATTGTCATAGATAGTGGATAAGAGGTTAAGTTCTGGGTCTATACTTGACTGCATAAAAAAAGCTGATTGCAGGAAAAACAAGAAAAAAAAAATGTACACAATACTGTACCAAACAAACACAAAAGGGGCTTACAGGGGTACAATGGAGTAAGGGAGTATGGCTAGGCTAGGAAACCTAGGTAATAAATGAGATTAAAGAAAAAATATATAAACATGGACTATATAAAACACAAGATATAGATATACAAAGCAAAAATATAAACAAGACTAAGCAATACAAAAACAAATTGAGCAAAAATGAAAAATGAGGTAGATTGCTTACAGGTATTCTCAGGTACACTGTAAGTAACAATAGACAGATAATATATATCAATATAGATAAGAATGTCACGATACAATAAGATAAGCAATTACAGGAACAGATGAAAAACAAATCTGCTGTAAAATAGAAAGTAATTATAGCAAAACACAATAATATAATAAAATGACAATAATAGTTCTTCAATAATAGTACACCTTGGGTCGTACGCTAATGACAGCTGGCTGGCAAACATAGACTCCAAATTATTGACTCCATAGACTCCAAAATCCATAGACTCTTAATTTGAAACACATTCGATAGTAAATAACGAAGTTATATCATGCAAGCAATCATCCATTTGTGCACTGAGGAGGATCCTCACACCCTCTTAACAGTTGAAAGGGTCTCCCAATCCACACCAGGGTGCCTCCAGAAGCTAAATTAGATCCCGATTAGTGAAAACGGGTCTTTAAACAGCTGAAGGGCAGCCCCAAGCACCTCAAGGGGCAGCCCATCCTCACTAACAAAAATAAACCAACCCGTCCTCGACTCAAGTCCATTACATCCAGCGGTCGACCCCACAGACGCAATCATAAATTTTAACATCTTGTTCATTCAAACAGGAATTTTCTCAAATAAAAATTAATATTATAATATATTAGCATATTGTGCATATATAGACATAGGTTTGGTTAGGTTAGGTGTTTAGGTTCTGTTGGCGATTATTTGTATTTGAAGTACGTGGGTGAAACATTTACAGCGTTGTGGTTCGAACAAAATTCGTCAGTGAAGCATTTGTTCCGGAAGTGTCCGAACGAAGTCAATTGAGAGTCGTGTGTAAAACGTTTTTCATTCATAAACAGGGGGTTTGGCGGGTGCATGGAATCGCTTTTGGGTCCTTGTTTGGAGGACGGGCTCCATTATGAATGTTTCGGCCCGTCCTCCAGTCAAAGACCCAAAAGTGATCAGAAGACCCATCCTCCAATCAAAGACCCAAACCTAAACACCTAACCTAACCTATGCCTATATATGCACAATATGCTAATATATTATAATATTAATTTATATTTGAGAAAATTCTCGATTTGAATGAACAGCTTGTAAAAATTTATGAATGCGTCTGTGGGGTCGACCGCTGGATGTAATGGACTGGGGCCAGATTCATGAAGCAGTCACCAAGCACTTACGAACCTGTACATCTGTTCTTATTCTTTGGCGGCTTTGTTTACAATTATTAAACAGTTAATGAGCTCCGAAGCACCAGAAGGCTATTTATAACAATAATAACAGTTGATGGGGAAGTTTTCATGCTTTAAACTGTTTAATAAATATAACCAAAGCCGTCAAAGATTGAGGAAAGATGAGAACGTTCGTAAGTACTTGCGTAACTGCTTCGTGAATCTGTCCCTTGAGTCGAGGACGAATTGGAATGTTTAGTTTCCTGGGGAGCTGATTACCAGTGGTGTGCGAGGCGAGACAAGTCTCGACCAATTCTTACTGATAATGAAGCAAGATCACACTTGCAGTTTGTGTTCGAAATTAAAATTACAAAATCAATGTTTTGATTTAAATGATATTGAGTGCATAATAAAGATAATAAACTAAGTAGCATAATACCTTGCAGTATATATTTTCTTGGCTTGGGAATGCACTATTATTATTAATTATGTAAGAGATCATGCTGTTTAAACCTGTTCGTAAATTTGGACACAATAATACTCGCATTTGTCATCTTAGCCGAGGGCCATACATCTTGTACTTATTAATTGGAGATGGGCTGGGGTTTAGACTTGTTATCTGTCGTGATCCTGAAGCCCCAGAAGTGCCTTCTGGGTGTATATGTGTATATGCATCGATACATACTGTTGTTGTTGTTGCTGTTTTAGATTTAGCTACTCAGAACGAGATGTCCATGTAACACGGGCTATAGTGAGCCCGTAATCGAGACATACACTTATCGGTGTATAAATACATCTGTTCATTGCTTTGCACCTTATTTGTTGTACACCTGCTCATTGTTGTGCATCTTGTAATGACCGCTTACCCTGTCGTAATAACCGCGGCCTCTATTGTAATAACCCGATGTTCCCCAGTATTAATCCTGTTATCTTGTTATCTCTCGTGATCGTAATATACGCTCTCTGTTGTACATCTCTGTCTCTCTTCACTCAATACCCCAGCTTAACACTGTTACAGTCCAGCATGACCCCTCACTGGACTGCCCCGTATATGAGAGGAATATTAAATGAGGAAGATACACTAAGGACAAGGGTTATTAGTTAAAAAAAATAACAAAACACATTTGCACTGCCACCACCTTCCCGACCAACCATACCTGAATGTGTCTTATCACCGATCCCCCAGGAAGGCAAGGAATCAGTAACCATGGGACTCCGGGTAATATGAATTTCAGTAATAAATTTTGGAAAATTAGTTTGTTTAATTTACGTTACTTATTTGAATCCAAGGGCAACTTTAGTATCTATTAATAGTAGGAGAACATGGGGGCTTCCAATACAACACCTAGAAATGACAAAGTAGCAAAATATATCAAAGGGGAGTTAAGTGAATACCACTGGACAAGCTATACAATTTATTTTATGAAACATGTAAATTAAGACAATTTGAACACATTACCTATTCTATTTCCCTAGAGGCACAATGGATATTTATTGAGGGCACGAACTCAAATGCTACTATACCTTAAATACCCGCACTACGGCCACGATGTTGATAGCTGCCCTCAGTCCCGAGGATACGGGCTTGCGGCCCTGTTCCTAATACACTCCCAAGACACACTGATGAAATTTAGTTTTTCCAACTTATTGCTGGGAAGGATTACTCCTCCCACCATCTAATACAGCCCCAGGGCTCCACCCATTATTTTGGCAATGGCCAACCATTTAACACGTAGGCCTGAGGTCTGGCTCTCTAGGGCCAATAAGGACTTGGCCCTTATCTCAGGCCAATCACCTTCACTGATCTGTCGTGGAAAGCTACATGAATTCCTGAAGATTGAGTCAGCTCTCCCCAGCTAAAGAGAAGGGGGACAAGGCGCGTCTATGGAGCCCAGGCACCTGCGAGCAATGTTTACAAAACTGATAAATTATGTTCAAGCCTGTCTCCTCTAAGATAGCGAGTAGGGACATTTGACTCTGCCTCGTATGGGGAAGAGGCCGGTGAGAGGGGAAGAGAGGGGATGAGAGGGAAAGAGAGGGGATGAGAGGGGGAAGTTGAGTGGGAGAAGCCAAGGTATCCAAGACCACCCTACCCTCAGGTCAACCCCTTGACCCTGACAAATGGGCGACAGGGGGGGGGAAGAGGAGGAGACGAATGACGGCCAAGGGGAGGGGAGAAGGAAGGAGGGGAGAGGGAGAAGGAAAGGAGGGGAGAAGGAGAGGGGAAAGAGGGGAGAAGGGAGAACCAATGATCTGAGCCCCAGATCATTACAATCTGTTCACTGCTGTACAACTATAAGTTGCAAATACTGAATCCTGTTTATTGCTGTTCTCTTGTTCACTATTGTTCTGTTCATTACAACCAGAGTACAGCGATATAATTGGCTACGAACAAAGTGTCTGACTCTGATGTTCTCCCTGACAGGAGCTGGACGTCCGGGAGACCAGCCCGGAGGTGGTGCGGGGACAGGTGTTCGAGGGTGACATGCTGCTGACGGCGGACCAGTGGCAGTCGCTGCGGGAGAGGAAGGGCCTGGGCCACAGTGTTCTCCTGTGGCCAGATGGTCCAGACGGCTACCCACACGTACCGTATGTCTTTAATGATGGTGAGTTGTAATCTGATGGTTGATCCCCTCACTTGGTGAGGTCTTCCACGACATTAGGATATAGACAAATAGGTAAAGAGGATGCATTTATTTAGTTAATAACTACTCGAATTCCTAGGCGTTATTGGGTGAAGAACAAGAGCTACGTTACTACTCACGATGGTCGTTGAAACATCTCTGCAATATCCGACCCTCCCGGAAGTCTTATGGGACTTACCCCTAGGAACGTTGGTCTTTGGAATTGCTCAATGGTTATGAAAACGGAAGATAATAATCGTGTTAGGGACGATTGTTACAAAAGTTTCAAACATAGCCATTGTGATGAATAGAACTATCATTGCTACAGGAAGGGTCTATGAACTGAAGCCTCATATATTCTATGACCTTCCTAGGGTCAAATGGTAAAGCGTTGTCAAGTTTTATATTTAAAAATTTTGGACGATGAAGAGGTTCGCTTCGTCCATAGGAAGTGAGTGTACGCTCGATAAGAGTAGTGTCCGAGATTACTTTGATGTTGGACCGCCACTGTGTGCTGCTAGGCTGGGACTAGGTGCTCAAACCACTCACAGGGGTTATCAACAAGGTAAAATGCCTAGAGCAACATGCACAAGATCTTGAAGGGATCTTGGCAGATACAGCTCGTGTCTGGTCTCTACCTGGTGGTACAGGCAGATCACAGTAACCGGTTTATTAAAAAATAATAATTGTCTACTTTAAGAGGTGTCAGAGGCAATCAACGCACAGTATAGTCTCTTACCAACTCTTCCCAGGTGACGTAATGCAGCCTAACTTAACACTGTTAATGTGAACACCTCGTGCAATACCGCTGCCTAAACACCACTGCTGTGTGCAAGGGACAATTTGAACCTCAAATGATGCTCGGGAAATTATTTGTATGCACATAAAACTGACACGTATTATAAATATATTCAAGAACACGTGCACAGTCAAGAACCAGAACTCAGCAGAATGTTGCTCTGAATGTGTGGGGAAATCTCCCAGCAGGAATTTATTTATTTATTTAAATTATTGATTTAACTTTTAAGCACTTATTTTAATTTGAATGGTCTGTATTTTCTTAGTGGACTGAAGGATTTTATAATTTTCCTGCTTGGAGCCTCCCTTCACATATCTGTAGGGTTTAATACACATCAATCGAAATTAATCAACTAATATAAATTTGCTAAAATTGGTTAGTCTACAACTAATTGGGTTAATTAAAGTACTGTACAGCTTAGCTGTTATGTTGAGTGAGGCCTGGTCAACTAGACATGGACACAAAAGATCAAGAAAACTGATGCTCCTTGTGGATCAGGCTATAGCAGGGGTGGGCAACCTTTTTGAGAGTGCGTGCCAAAATCAGCCAAGTCTCTGACACAAACTTTTTCCACGTGCCAACCATTTTTTTTAGAACATATTTGGTATCTCTTAAGAACTTTTTAAACGAAAAAATAATAAATTACCTCAGTGCAGTAAAACATAGTATAAAAAAAAACCAGAAAAAAAATTATTTAACCTTCAGAAGTACATTTCAACAGCCTTTAAGCTTTTGTGACTTTAATAGAATACAACAGATAAAAAACTTGTTGACTCCTTTTATATACTGTCAGTGAGACTTCTGCTGCTGCATAACTGATGACAGATTTTACATCGGTTTATATTTAGTAACATTGAGAGATATGCATGCAGCGCTAGTTTCATCTGTCATGCTACTCCTGTTACGAGACTTAACAAAGTTCATAATTGAGAACAAAGATTCGCAAGCATATGTAGACGAAAACATGGTTACCAATGCTGTTGCAAGGTTTTTTAAACAGACATAATTTTCTGGAATAGTATTCCAAGTCCTTAATACTTCGTTTTCCGCATTTCTCTTTGTTACTTTCATCTCTAATCTCTCTCTTTCAATATTTTCCAAGTCAACTCTAAGGTCAACAAATTTCTGCTTCCAAATTGAGCTACTCTGAAATTCAATCAACTGCATCTCAAAATCATCCATGTCTATCCATGAAAACATTTGCAAGTTTAGTTCATCCATTTTGATGCTATCTGGAAACTTGATGAACTTTACTGTGTCTTCCAGTTCTCTGAATTTGGCAAATCTTGTAGAGAACTTTTATGAAAATTAGAGGGTTTTCTTTATTTTACATAATTCCAGAAACAACACCAGCAGCCGCTTATCACAAAGACACTACTTCCTAGGCATTGAGTACTTATGCCAAGAGTTTATAAGACTTCACTTGGTTCGATATACCCGTTTTTGTGTGTGTGTGGTGTGTTGTGGCGAAACATCGTTGAGTCGGTGACATCTTGCTTACGTCAGCTCTGCTCTTAGGGAGCATGCGAGCGAGTACGTGTGAATTTAAGGATTAAGACTATTCTTACAATGATATTGAGTTTCACAAAGTAATTGATTTATAAGGGGAATAATTTTCACCAGGAGATGAAGTACTGACCTTCTTCTCGGGGAGGAGGCAAGTGAGCAACTGTGAGGAACACTAGGAAGCAAGACTGCGAGAGAGAGAGTTACGAGTCTGAGATCGTCTGAACATGTGTTCATTACGGGGACTTCATGGGGGGTGGGGGACTGTTGATTTCACTGGTTATATTACGGCCGTCAATGGAGAGAAGGGGAGAACATAAGAATTCTCATCTTTCTTTAGCTTTCGAAGGTGAAGATGCTTTAGATTTAGATAGTAAAGTGAGTTTAATTAATATGCGTCAAACTGAAGTCGGGCGGCATTCAAACACATGAGGTTTAGGGGGGGGGGAGATGTTGTGGGGGTTTAAACTCAAAGTTTACGAAATTAATTTTTAAAGGTGGGCAGGCATGGCGTATTTTGCCTTCACAGATATGATTGTCAGTGTACACTATGGTTATGGGTGCAGCCTTTAGGTTAGAAAGGCTTATTACATAAAATATGAGCCAAAGTAAATAGAGGGGAATCATCATACATCGGCATGATCGATGACGTAAAAAAAGAAGGTAACTATGGCAACAAGATCAACTTCTTTTTCTTGAGACCTCTTTAGCTTCGTAGAGCTTAAACCTCTTCACCACCAGGACGTACATATACTGTCATGGCATGTAAGCTTATACCCCAAGGAAAGTTGTTTTTTTTTTGTCTGTGCTTAGGGTAACATGTGCTTGCATCTGTGCTTAGGGTAACCTATGCTCTTGCGTGCCAGAGACAAGTCATCGGCGTGCCAAGTTTGGCACGCGTGCCAGAGGTTGCCCACCCTTGGGCTATAGCATCCTCACGTCTCACGTGTTGTACCAGGTAGCGTTGCTACTTCAGGTCGTCACAGGTTACATAGTGGAATTATACACCGTAAAAAAATCACAAATTACAAAATCACAGAAGCACAAAAATTACAAAACACAAAATACCGGCCTGAAGGGCCGACAACAAAAACATAACAAGAAATACAAACACAATGCAATACAGTACAGAAATAAGAACAGTACAAGACATGAGGGTAACGTTAGCTTGACACGCAAGCATGTGTATAAATACAATAAACCGAGAACAAAACAACCATAACACAAATCACAACCTACAAAGGCACAAAAGTACAAAATTACAAAGACATAAAATTCCACCCCGAGGGGCCGACAACAAAAAGCACAAACGTAATGCAAGACAGTACAAAAATAACAACAGTACAATATATATTACCCAAACCCGCACCCAGCAACCCAACCATCGAAACCACACAAAAGAAGCCTACCATCCCAGGAAACCACACACGGAGAGGCACCAATACATAATGACAATAAGAAGGAAACAAAAATAAAACACAAACACAAAGAAATTAACATCGGCAATTCATGATAATGGGAATAAAAGCAGGCACGGCCACACAAGCATCCCAAAGGGCACGCAACCACTCCACAAACAAGCACACACCGGAATACACAGGAACCGGGAAAACAAACCCGGCCCACCCACACACACACATGCAACCTCGCCCCACGTCCACGCACACAAACGGACACAACCCCACAACACATAGCAAACAAATTAAGTCACTTGAAAGGAGAACAAATCTCAATGGGAGGTGAATATTTCTCAGGGAACTCATACACAGGATATTTGTCCTTATAAGCCTCCCATATCAAATACTCCATGTCGGTAGGGTAACGATCCCCGTGCTTCAGGGAGGGCCGCATAAACTCAGGAATCACTAAATCGGGTGGAAACCAGCAGCTCCCGGAGCTGGTCGTCAGAAGTCGCATAACGAGGAGGGGGGTATGGCAAACCAACTCCTCTGTGGAAACAGAAGATACCGAAGAAGAGTACGTAGGCCGCCGAGACGGCCCCGCTGCCGGATGCACAGGAGAAGAAGGCGAAGGCTGCCGAGACGGTAACACAACTCCCGACACAGCAGGAGATGCAGAAGAGACAGCTGGAAATGGGAGAGGCGGCAAAACCGCCGCCGATGAAACTGGGATCGAGGCTGGGGGCACGGAACCCCCAGAGCGAGCAGCCATTTTCAACAGATCAGATCACCACGCTCACCACGAACCTCATCAGGGTGAACCACCCCCTACGCAGAACCAGAACCATCCGACGCGGGCGACGCACCTGAAGCAAGATCCACAGGTACCATACCAAAAAAGAAGTCTGAGACACCGTCACCGACAGCCACAGGCACATGGACCTCCACCACCACCGAAGAATGCGACACAACCGGAACCACTCCGCCATCGCCGGAAGATCCACAGTCGTCGAACTCTCCTACATCAGCCCAGTCATGAAAAGAACGCCGGGAACGCTTAGGCACCGGCCGCACATCATCAGCGCCGGATGTCGACCCAGAGACCTGGGCAACACAAGCCGGGCGAACCAACGTTCTCCACAGGACGGCAGCATCCTCAACCACACTAGCACAGTAGGAGGCCCTACAACCACCCCAGCACCCAGCACTGCCTGGACACACGGCGAAGGGGTAGGGGACAGGCACAACAGCTGAAGAACATGAAGACGGGGGAGCCGTGCAGAGGGCAGCCGGATGAACCACGGGAGCACCAGAGACAACAACCTTGGCAGGACAAGCACCCGACGGTGACACAACCTCCGGAAGAGAGGCGACAGCAACAGGAGGCGCAACAGGTGAAACAGGAGGCACTTCAGCAGCCAAAGAGTCGTCCACATCCACAGCTACCGAACCCTCCTCCAAAGAGTGCGGCGGGAAGTCCTCCTCACGGTTGACGGGCGCGATGGCAGGTGCAGAGCACCCAGCAGCCTGATGGCCCAAGATGCCATAACGGTAACACGTACGAGGCTGGCGGGTGTAATACACCCTTACATAACAACCCAGGAGCTTCACCGAGGACAGAATGTCTGCCTACAGTCTCTTTCCCAGGGTGCGAATGTTCGACCGCACACCCTTAAGCGATCCCAAGGAGAGCAGGTCCAACCGCACACTGACAACAGCTCCAAACTAGTCGAAATAATGCCGCAGCAGCCCCTCCGGGAATTCCAAGGGTGCCCCATGCACGCATAACATACGTAATGGCACCACTCCGATCTGAGACAGTCACAGTACCTGCACCTTCCTGCAGGGGCAAGGTTCGCCCCTCGTAATGACGTAAAAATCCCCAGTACACCTCCGTCTTAAACTTGACAATCATCTTGCGGGCAGTCACCAGTTCAATGCCATAAACGTCCACCATCGGGACACGCAGCAATTCACACAGCACGAGCCCCACCTCAGGATATCCAGCTCGATCAAAAAACTCGAGACCCACAGACTGGGCACACACAACATGGGGGAGGGGGGTTCCCATGGCGCCGCTACGCCAAACAGCACCCTCCCGCTCGCAACTCCAGACAACAACTGGCAGGGCAGGCTAGCACGTCCAAACCCCCTGGTGGCCAATGAGGCAATCTATTATAACATATGATATTACACTGATTGTGGTTAAATTAATATTGGACTCTTACCCAGTTCTGGGTGGTTGTCAGCCTCATAACTGGGTTGAAATTTAACTAATACTATCAGATCTGGTAATATAGAGAATTATTTCAACCCGATAACAAGGTACTCCCCATAATTGGTGAGGTCGCTTTGGCAACTTGACTACAAGTTGACTCGGGAGACACCTTACATGAGGTATTTGTCTCCTTAATAGAGGCAATAACCAATGTTCAGTGCACAACACTGCACATACAGCGGCCATGGGGTATACGTTTAGCTTTGAGAACATCATTATCTCATACTGAGAGTGTTTACTGAATCAAAACGATATAGCACATGACTTTCTTCGTACAAATAGAAAAACTGTGCAGTTGAACTGAAATTCGTTATGGAGTGCATGAACACATTGTGGACAGACGCACACAAATAGAAAGTGATATAGTGATATAGGTTACATGGTCAATCAAACTCACTATAAGAGACAGGCACGTGTCTGAGTGAAGATAGTAACATTCATATGTGATGTAATGAAGCCGTTCCGCCCGGGATGGTATACAACAAAGTTGTAAATTTGCAGATACTGTAAACCAGAGAGTGTGTCTGGCTGGGATGAGGCACTGGATGACTCACACCTGCATCAAGTTCTCCCCGACCACCGACACTGACCAGCCCCACCTGAGGTTCATATATGGAGATGGGTGCTACTCGTCCCTGGGCCGCGTGTTCTTCCTCAATGGTCAGGATGTCTCCATGGGCAGCGGCTGTGACAAAGTCAGTACCACCACCTTCATCTGATTATTATTTGTCATGTCCATTAACATTATATCTTACGATATTTCTCTATTCTGAAGAGCTGCTAAACTTTTGAATAAATGCCAGAATGCCTTTTCAACAACAACAATAATAATAATAATAATAATAATAATAATAATAATATCTTATTTATTCTAGGTACATATAATGATCAAACCACACATCAGAAAATGAAAAGTAATTAATTAACAAAAAAGGGCACCAAGCCGGGACAGAAACAAAATACGACGACATTTCGGTCCATCCAGGATGGATCGAAACGTCGTCGTTTCTTTACTTTCTGATGTGTGGTTTGGTCATCATATCTTCAGCCACGTTATTGTGACTCATCGACTAGAAAATTTAATTTGTGTTCTACTATATTCTGTACCCCCCCCCCAACAATAACCACCCCCCTCCTCCTGCAGCTGGAGACCATTGCTCACGCCCTTGGTCATGCTGTGGGCTTTGTACATGAACACTCTCGCTCTGACAGAGATGACTTCGTCCACATCAACCAGGAGAACATCATTCCCAGATACGTTGACAAGTTTACAAAGACCTCCCCGTCTGGTGTCAACAACTTCAGCGTCGCCTATGACTACACTTCTCTGATGCACTACAAGGACAAGGTGTGTACAATGGACTTACTTTCCCAAAGTTGCTGCTGTCTATAATAATTTACATACCGTCTATCTGAGCATATATCAGTTACCAAAAGCACCTAAGCAGTGTTTTTATGGCTAGTAATATTGTGCTGTTCTTAATATATACTTCCGATAATTCAGAAATCTCTTTAGGTAACGGTAGTCGCCTATTAAGAACTAGGTATTATATTTGAATCATTCATTAGAGGCTATTGTCTGGATTGGCAGCGCTCTCTTTCTCTCCCCCAGACATACACCATCAACGGCAAGCCCACCATCGTTACGCTCGACCCTCTCCTCCAGGGGCTCATGGGCCAGAGTAATGGACTGTCTCACAGGGATAAGTTGCTGGCGAACAAGCTCTATAACTGCATCGGTGAATGACCGCGGCTGTGTTTGCTCGTGTAATAATTCCGTTCTCTTTGACTACTTACCGCGTCACATTTTCAACTGTTGTGAGAGTTGAGTGTCTTGTAATCTTAGATGAACTGTTCTCCCCACAGGCAAGTGGCTGAGAAGCTGCAACTTGACGACTGACCCGTGTGAGAACGAAGGCTATCTAGGTGCCAACTGTGGGTGCGTGTGTCCCCCTGGAACCTCCGGCATCTACTGCCAGGACAAGATTTATGGCTATTACGGTAAGGGGCAAGCAAGCTCTCCAGGGACCTGTCCATCATGTACAGTTTGGCATCACTGCACCACAATGCTAAATGCTCTCCAGTCAGCTTTAATTCTTGGAGAGAATATTCTCTAGTCAACCCATCAACTGAATTACTTGGAACTGAACAGTATTTACCAGTCATCCCGTTCATGTGTTCGTTTACGTGTTTACACCACTACCGTTGACCGGGGCAAGGGAAGGGAACTATCAGGAGGAAGCACCAAGCCATTACGACTATGTAGCACTTGGACGGGGTCAGGATAAGGATTTAGGATGGGACGGGGGGCGGGGGGGAACGAATGGTGCCCAACCACTTGGACGGTCTGAGATTGAACGCCGACCTGCATGAAGCTCTACCGTCGCTCTACCGTCCAGCCCAAGTAGTTAGGTTGACCGGTTGAGAAAAAATTACATCTTTCTCATTTAGTTGTAAATTTGTAAATCAGTTAAGTTTTAACGAAAATCCAGTAGGGATATAGTTGTGATTCATGAATCTAGCTTGAACTATACATTTTCAGAAAGATTCGAATTCGGGACATCTGGGGTGGAAAACTAACGATAACCAACTACTCTGCCATCCGTACCTGATAAACATTCGTTAATAATTGGTTTTCACAAGCATATAAGTAATGAGTGCAACATTTAAAGTGGCTATTTACAGAAATAAACGATAGGGGTATTCTTAAAACATCAGTTTCATTAAATATAGAGACAATTAACTTAAACAAATAGACAGCGGGACGACAGTAGGAGGCTTGGCAGCTTAGCAGAAAGTTTTTTTTTGGGTGGGGAAACTTACTGCTAAGTTGCCATCCTTAAAAAAAAAAAAAAGAGTCCCCAGGTCAGACCTACAAACTTACCGCTAAGTTGCCACCTGTTTTCAGGCGGAATTTTTTCAGAGTCCAGTTTAAGACTGAATTATTTCAGAGTCCAGTTTTAGTTAAAATCGTATAAAATTCCATGTTCAGAGAATAGTTTTATTAGGAGTTTGTTAAAGAATTCTTATATAAAAAATATACACTGTTTCCGTTTAAGACTGAATATTTTCAAAGTTATAAATAAATAAATAAATAAATAATAAATGTTTATTTAGGTAAGGTACATACATACAAGAGATTTTACAAAGTTTGTTGGATTAATAGATAGAGCTAGTATATACAATGCCTAAAGCCACTATTACGCAAAGCGTTTCGGGCAGAAACGAAGTTATACTTACAGAAGTTATACTTACACCTGAAGTATTAAAGAGTTATTACGGAGAAACAATATAAGCTCTACGGGCTTAAGTTTCCGTTTTAAAAGTAATTCACAGTATCAGAAGTTAGTTCTTGGACCTGGCTCTATACATTTATAAGTGAAGTGTTCTTACTAGTAGCCCAAATTTAAACAATCATATTTTGGACACAGTATATCAGATCAAGACAGTTACCGAGTTCTAGTTCCCATCCCCGCCTTAGATCACTCGTAAATTCTCTACTATCAATCCAACTTCCCTGAAATTTAAAACCGCTATATGTCGGACGTAGTAAATATGATCAAGGAAGTTACTGAGTTTCATCTCTTGTCCTCCACCTTAGTTCCCTCTCATATCTTCGTTAGTATCAGTTCAATTCCTTTAACATTTAAACCTAATTTCAATTATTAGCATTACAGACGTTGTAAAAAAATCAAAAGCAAATACCGAGCTCTGGTTCTTGCCCCCCCCCCATCTTAGTTCATTCGTACTACTCCGCTATGATCCGATGAATTTCCTCAAGATTTAAAACAGTCATTTCAGACATAGTAATAAAAGAAAGTAAAGTTGCCGAGTTCCAGCTCCTGGTCTCCACCTTAGTTCCCTCTCATATCTTCATTAATATCTACCCCAAATCCTCTGAGATTTAAAACCGCTATATTTCCGACACGGTAAATATAATCAAGGCAAAGTCCAGTTCTCTGTGTTCTTTGTTACGTTCTCAGAATGTTCTTGACAAGTTTGTTGTTCATTCTTCATGTACTCTCTATATTCTTTTTATGTTTCCATGTTCTCTTTTATTCGTATTTGCTGCATGTTCACTGCTGTGTTCATCAAATTCTCTTACATGTTCTTTAAAATCAAATGTACAGTTGTTTCTAACATTCATTAACTAGTTCTTTTTCAAATATTATCAACCGTATTACTGTTTCTCCTTACAAATTAGTTAAACTTTATTTTGTTTTCAAATATTTAGTTAAAATTTATTTAAAAATTTATAAATTACTTAGTTACACAGTATTTATTTAGTCATTGTTGACCAATCAACACACTAGAAAATGAAGGGACGACGACGTTTCGGTCCGTCCTGGACCATTCTCAAGTCGATTGTCGTTTACAATCTTTACAATTTACATTTACGTATTTAGTCATTTATCAAGGTTATTTACAATCGACTATTCTTAAATAGTTCTTAACAAAAATTTACTGTTCTTTGATGTTTAAGATGTTTATGGCACTGTTTTAAAAATAATCTACACTTTATTCAGTAACAAATTTACTAAGACAATCTTTTCTTTACGTTTCTTACTAAAATCAACCATCAGTCAACTGAAAATAGCTAACTTTTTAAAATCATTTTTTAACTAAGATAACTCGTTGTTCGTTCTAAAAAATAGCCAAATGATTCTTTCCAGCATCATTCTTAAATAAATAAAACTTCTCTCAGCTGAAAATAGTCAAATGTAACTTCTTTCAACACTTTCGTAACTAACAATATACTTCGTGGAGTAAGAAAATTAGTCAAAGATACTCTTCAAGACATCAATAATACACTCAAAAACATCAAAGATACACTCAGAGTCATTAAAGGCATACCCAAAGACAACAAAAAAATTCTATTCATGCCATCAAAAGTTATTCTCAGAGACATCTCCAAACATTTATAGGTACACACAATGCTCTCTTTATGTAAGAAGAATGCGCTCAGAAACATCAAGAATACTATTCGAATCATCAAGGTTATTCTCTGAGTCATCAAGATACAATCTATGACATCTTTATGCATCAAATGATACTCTCGTGACATCTTTGTTCTCCAATGACACTCTCAAAGACATTAAGAATATTCTCACTGTAGTGTATTTACGTAAAAGAATACTCTCCGACCCATCAAAGATATTCTCAGAGACCTTAAAGCTTATCTCAGATCCAATAGTGTTATTCTCAGAGTCATCAAAGATAATCTCTTAAACATCAAGAATAGTCTTCAATCATTAAATAACATTTTCACTGTAACAAACATTGTAACAAACGTCTCTCTGTAACATATCTAACATTTCTTATTTACATAACTTCCCTTACACAACCTATCCCACCTGACATAACTTACCCATTCTAACTTGATCTAACTTACATAACTTAATAATGTAACTTACCTATCCTGATTTACCTCTACTACCCTATCCTAATGTAACTTACCTAACCTACCCTACCTAAAGTAATTTACCTAACCTACCCTACCTAAAGTAATTTACCTAACCTACCCTACCTAAAGTAACTTACCTATCCCAACATAACTTATATAACTTACAAAACCTAACTTAACATAGCTTATTTAAAGCATCATCTTGTTCTCTCTGAAACATATACCTTTCGTTTACTCACACAACACTCTTTCACACTTACTAATGAAAGTGTCAGACTACGGAGGAAAATTAAAACAGGAATTTCCTTAAGTACTTTCGTATATTAATACATCTTCAGAAGGAGTGATCACGTGTCTATTTTTCGTGATTTACACACTTATTAATGAATATAAATTCATTCTTTATCTTAGTAATAATGCAAGTAAAGTATTAAAGAAGCAGAGCCACTAAGACTTGAGACTAATAAAGGAGGAAAGAAAGAAAGATAGAAGAGAGACTGATTAAGCCAACTAAAAGATAAAGATACAATAAGATGAGAGAAAGAGTGAATCTGAAACTAAGAGATAGGAAAAGGAAGCACACTAATACATAGACAAAGAGACAGACAGTGAAAAAGACATTGCCAGAATAACGGAAACTGAGACAGACACAGACATTGACAAAATAAAGACAGACAGAGGTAAGCATTGATCGAAAACAAAGACTAAGAAAGATAAAAGCTAAGGCATTGAGACAGACATGAATACACTGAGAAACGAACGAGAAAGAGGTACGAAAAGCTAAGACATTGAAATTTAAAATATAAAGTACAGAGGATTAAAGAAAACTTAAATAATTTATTGTAACTAAATATTTGAAACTAAATGAAATTTAACTAATTTGTTAGAGGAACAGTAATGCTTTGTTAATATTTGATAAAGAACTAGTTACTGAATGATAGAAACAATTGTACATTTGATTTTAAATAACATGTAAGAGAATGCGAAGAACGCAGTGAACATGTGGGGAATATGAGTTGAACTCGCATAGAACATTAAAACACAAAAATAATTTACGTTTTTATAAATTTTATAAATTTATTATAGGGAAATTTATCAGTTAATAGGAGAGTTGTAGGATCGAACTAAGATCAGGGATAGGAGCTGAAGCTCGGAAACTGCCTTGATTTTATTTACCAAGTTACATAGCCTTCCCGGTTTGTTGTCTTCTTTTGATAATTACTTAATTACTTATTTACCAAGTCGGAAATATAGCGGTTTTAAATCTCAGAGGATTTGGGGTAGATATTAATGAAGATAAGAGAGGGAACTAAGGTGGAGGACAGGAGCAGAAGCAGGACTCGGTAACTTAACTTTTCTTTTATTGCTATGTCTGAAATGACTGTTTTAAATCTCGAGGAAATTGATCGGATAATAGCATAATAGCGGAGTTGTACGAATGAACTAAGGCGGGGACAATAGCCGGAGCTCGATATTTGCTTTTGATTTATTTTTCTGCATCTGAAATACAGTGGGTTTAAACTTTAGAGGAATTGGACTAATACTTATGAAGATACGAGAGGGAACTTAAGGCTAAGGATACAAGCTGAAACTCAAT